GTGGTTTTGAGAAGTTGACAATAATCATGGATCGAAAGAGATCGTTTCTTGAGGGACTTGAACTGTTCTTCGAGTTGGATGGCCCGATAGTCTTCGTTGTCTGTAAAGAGAGAGGCGAGGGCCTTCCACAGATCATGAGCCATTGGGGTTTTGGAGAGAACCATGCTTGAGAGGTCCTCGGTTATGGTGCCATAGATCCAAGACTGGAGGAGGTAATCTGCGCGTTGCCATTCATCGGCGGAGATGTTGTCGGGCTTTTTGTTTCCGAGAAGCAGATCGGTGAGGCAGAAGCGGCCTGCGGTGATGATGAAGAAATGGCTCCACTTTTGACAGTTCGGATTTTTAATATCCATGGTTACAGGAATAAGAGCTTTGATGTTAGATATAGCAAGAGCAAGGTGAAAAGGGTTGGAAATCATGGTCGGTGTTGGTGTTTCGTTGGCCATGGTGGATGAAGAGAAGAAGGCAAAACGAAAAAAAAAAAATTGAAGAAGGAGAGAAACGGCGGCTTAGGGTTTTTGGCTCGATACCATGATAGAAGGAGAATATTTTGGAGAGAAGAGAGAAATAATATCTCTCACGTTTATTGCGATATATATATTACATGTGTGAAAAACCTAACCCCTTACACAAGGGAACTGGGAGATATACATACCAATAATACAATATTTATCTATAATATATATATTAATAAAGATACATAAAAGATACGGCTATTAGTTATAGTTTCAGATATCCTGGTTCTGAACTCGGTTCGTTGTTCGTTCTTTCGAATGGATTGCTTTGTTTCGTATATGAGGAGTCGAGGACTGTGTTGACGTTGCAGAGGTTCGACTTGGCGGATCTTTTAAAGAGAGGTGAAAGATTGCCTTTGCTATTGCCGCCGGTTTCGAACTATGTTTATCCGATGAGGTGGTACGTAACTCCTTACTCTAGAATTTCAGATTCTTGAAACAACTCTAGTTTTTCGACCAGGTGTGCTTCTTCCGTGTAAACCGTTGCTTCTTTTATCTGTGCACGAGTGCATGTGTTGTACGACCAAAAAAA